CCCAACCCCCTGCCCCAGGCCTGAGCCCCCCCCAAACCCTGAACCCCTCATTCTGGGCCCCATCCTGCAGCCCTCTGCCCGCCCCACACCCCAAACCCCTCATCCCCAGCTCCGTTGGGTTGCAGGCATCAATTTTCTTCAACTGGGTCGCCAGAAAAAAAAAAAGTTTGAAAACCATTGCTCTAAAGGATTGTATTACTTAGCTGCGCAATGAGCTACACCCTAGAAACAACTGCTTTCTAGTAAGAAAAGTGCATCATAAACATCATAGTCCTGTAACATTTGCTACTTCCCAGGGCTAGTCACATCCGTTGCTACAGGGACAAACGCAGCTCAACAAGTGGCAAGAATCTCTGTTCCCTGTGGCTTGGTAGGCTGCAATTCTGCAAGTTACTTGAGCAGCACAAAGAGGCCCAGAGATCAGGGCCCATTGTGGTGGCTGCTGTACACAGACAAGCCCTGCCCATGGAGTTTCTCTCTAAACACACTGGGGGACGAACACACAAGAACTGGGGCCCAGAGAGATGAAGTGACTTGGCCAAGGTCACACAGAGAATCTGGTTGAGCTGGAAATGGAGCCTCTGTCCAGTACTGTCACTTCACAGTGCACACAGGTAACCAAGGCTACATTTCCGCACTGCATTTACCCTTCTTCCCCAGCACCGGAAGTGCATCAACAACTCTCTTGTCAATGGAGGGGCTCGGAGGGTTCTATGGGTAAGAGGGGAGGGAGCATCTGCCGAGGGACTCCTCGCAGCTCTTCAGCCAGGAGACCAAAGTTTGCCCACAAAGTTAAAAGAAGGATCAGATTGAAAAGGCTCATTCACCTGCTCCGGTCCTCAATCTTCAGAAACGGGGGCTTCAGTTTTCCCACTAGAAGGAGAATTCTGCAGTTAGCAGCTGGCCTGGGCAGGCATTCCCTCCCCCCGCCCCCACAATGCACACCCTATCCCCATCATCCAATCCCTGGCTACACAGAACTGGACTCCAAAATCTAAAGTTTGTTTTTTTCCCCCCCCAATATTTATAACACTTCTGGATGCGAAGAAATCCTGAAAAAAGAATCAAGATCTGTTTGCCAGAGTCTGCAGGCAGCCTGAAACAATAGCCCGGAGCAGCATCAATTTTCCACTTATCTCCACCAGTGGACTCTGAAGCCTAATGCTAAGGATGCAGATATTTCAATGGACAACTTTCAGGGCAGATAGTCATTTAGAAGGCAAAACATACAATCTGTGTTCAGAACCTTGGTGGGGACGGTTAAGTCTAGAGAAGATTTAATGGACAGCTGAGAGACAGCGAAGAGTTAAAAGCTGCTGCAGATGAGCGAGCAACAAGATAGTTAGTTCTAACAATAAGGGCCCAAGTTGTGGTCAGGCCCAGAGCCAAAGTGCGGCTGTTGTCAGAATGCACTCCATGCCAGGCGGACAGCAGGTACCAGCGTGCGCTGGGGGAGTGGTAGCTGAACTCGGCCTCAGCAGAGTGTCAGGATTCAGACAGCCTCTTCTGGGGCATCAGGTTGATTATTCCCATAGGCAGGATCTTAGGGCTGTGCCTTCCTGCTATGTGGGTAGCACAAGGCAAATAGCCTGGTGTGTCCCAAGCTGTGCCAAGGTGCTCGGTGCTGCACTTGAGCAGGAGGATTTGGCCGACTGAAGAAAGCACAGGAGCAGCTCCAAATGCTTTTGTAGAGAGAGTGTCAAACTCACCACAGCCACAAGGGAGACTGGAGTCTTCGCTTCTTTATGATTGGCCCAGGCCTGAGAGGTGGGTAGCCCCCTGCCCAGCCTTGGGAGATCAAGAACACCAAGTCTGACCACCCCTGCTGGGACTGAGGCACCCAAGAGGCCTCTGAGCAGGTTTGAGCCAAGATTTTTCTGCAGGATGTTAAGTCACTGAAGGGAAGTAGCTGTTCAAGCACAAGGCTGAGACTGTTCCCATGCAGTTGCTAGGTGCTCAGCATTTTTGGAAGTCAAACTGTATATTTAGGGACCTAAAATGAGACTGGAAGCACCATTTGGTGCCCGCATGAGTGGCCTGGCCGGAGAGTTTTGATCGGTGACAAACCCCACCCCCAACGGTTCCGCTTTCACTCTCCGGTCACAATCTTTACACTAGCTCTCAGTCACTGGAGGTTCTTCCAGGCCAGACGAGACTGAAGTCTCATGTCAGCAGGAAGCAAGGTTTCCTAGAGATCTCCAGCCATCTCTGTCCCATTATATAGGGGCAAGAGAGGCACAAAGCTACTGTTCGCCCCAGCTCTGGAGGTCACCTTTTAACAAACAAAAAGCTGCCTTCGCGGTTTAGGAGTCAGACTTGACTCCAGGCTGAATGCTTTGAAGGCAGCAAAGGCTTCTCTGAATGCTCCCTGACCAGACTGCACGTTAAGGCACGGTCAGTCCCACGTCGGCACCACCGCGGCATAGCGCAGCCTTCTGCTAGCAGGAGTGAGTGGGACGTGGGGGACACGTCCTCCCCTCCACAGGGCTTCATTTCACAGCCAACACGGATTCAGAGACCGAAGCACCAGTACCGCAGTTCCTACCATAACTCTCAATTCTAGAAGCCCTGCCGGAGAGTCTCTCATAGCACAGGGGAGACCAGGTAAGTGGACAAATGATTAACAGGATTTTAGACAAGATCCCGCTGGAAAGCAAGAGTAGAAAGCCAGCCACACAGGAAGCATCCTAGCTATGCTTTCAAAATGCTGCACAAGCTTTAAAGCACGACAAGGAGAGCCCGGCAAGAGGTTTCTGTCTGAGCTTGGACAGTAAACGGCTTTGAGGGAACAGAAGTTTTTGCAAAAACAAGTCGTTTTGTTGAAATATCACAGTGAGGCGTTTTCACAAAGTCTCCCAACCAGCTCGACACCAGCTGAGAGCAAAGCTTCTGTACTGACCTTTAAGGACTCCTGGCCCCACTGAGAAACACTTCACCTAGACAGAAAAAACAGACAGCATTTAGGATGGGAGCCAGCCATAGACAAGACTAGCAGCCCACTGATTCCAGAGCAGTGAGGGGGAGATGCCAGCACAGGGCATGCTCATCCTTAAGGCAGTCCACGGCTGCTGTGCCCCTGGTGTTTGGCAGATCGGACTTGGTTTGCATAGCTCAGCACTGCCTAGACCAGACTGCTGGAAAGAAGATCATACAACTGGCCCTTCCTAAAAGAAGGCCAGCCTCACCCGTCCCCAACCCTAGCACAAGCCTGCTGGCAGACTGACTGTATACCGCATTGTGATTTTACCTCCCTTGCAAGTTGGGTGGAGAAAGCTGGAGTTTCCCCCTGTAAGTTGGTTGGGATCTGGGCCTGTTGTAGGTTGAGACCCCAGCTGGTCATCCAGCCTTGCCAGCCTAGCACTAGGCCTGAACTGCACCTGAAGTTGGCTTGCTAGACGTATTTCAGCTTGGGTGAGCTTTTTTAAGCGAATCTAGTTTTACCAGTAAAAGTAACAGCACGGACTCGGTTATACTGAGCTAAAGGTGCCTCCTCTTCCTGCATAGAATAAGGACTTTTCTACCAGTATAACGACATTCCCACTAAGCTAGGTTATACTGGGTTAACTATACCAAGCGCATCAGAGTTTCAGGCCAGCACCATCAGATCATCTAGTCTGACCACCTATATATCACAGACCACCCCCAACCCCTGGACACACCTGTATTGAGCCCTGGACACACCTGTATTGAGCCCGATAACTCCCTAGGCTAAAGATTTCAGCCCTCAGGAGACGAAACAGTTGCATGCCACAGGCAGAGAACAGAGGCATTAGTGGCATCTCACTCTTGAGGCCCCTGCAGTGGCAGGGAATTGATCAGTGACCTGCTCAGAGGATCTGGTTTGTGACCCACACCGCATAGGAAGGTGGACACCCCCACCTCACCCCTGCAAGGTCTCTGCCAGTCTGACCTTGGGGGAAAATTCCTTCCCAGCCCCAAAGCTAGTGATCAGTGAGACCCTGAGCATATGAACAGGAGACATCAGCCAGGCAATGGAAAAGAAATTCTCTGCACCATCTCAGAGCACTGATCCACCCTGTCCAGTGTCTCATCGCTGCTTCAGAGGCAGGTTAAAGAAAAAAAACCCCACAAACAAAAACCCCACACAGAATACCTCTGGCCAATTGTGCCCTGGGGAACAGACTCCTTTCTGATCTCAGCAGGCAACCTGCTTAAGCCCTGAAATGTGAGATTTGATAATAATCAAGGTCTTCCTACTGATCTGCAAGTGTTAGGAACATGCAGAGGACAATGCTGGGGGCAGTGCAGAGCTTCCTGTTCCCCCCCATAGTCCATGAAGGAAGGGGATGAACGGGGGTTCAGAGATTCAGAGTCCACGTACAGAAAGGGCAACTGCAAGCACTAAACAGCTGCAGCATTGCTCCTAGAGCAGGATTAAAGCATGTTGCAGAAAGATTCTAATCTCACTTTAGAGACTCCAAGCAAGGGTGAGTCTACCACCTCCCGGGGAGGCTGTTCCAATGTTCACTCACCCCCAGTGCTAGCAAACTGCCTCTTACATCCAGGTGGAATTTGTCCAACTTGACCTTCCAGTCACTGGGTCTTGTTCCGCCTTTGGCGGCAGAGTTGAATAGCCCCTCTCATGATCAAAGATCTTGTCCATGTGTCAGTGCCCAGGTGCAGTGAGCAACTCACCCTTCAACTTTAATGTCAGTAAAACCAATAGATTGAGTTTAAGCCTCAAATCACGAGGCTCCTTTTCCAGCTTCTGGATCACATGGGGCCCCTTTGAACTCTCTCCAGTATGTCCTCATCTTTGAGGTTTGGACACCAGAACTAGGCAGTGTTCTAGTAGCTGTCTTACCAATACCATACAATCATAGTAATGAAGGTCTGGAAGGGATCTAGAGGGATCATCCAGTCCCATGCTAAGGTAAGATTAAGTCAGTCCAGACCATCTGTGACAGGTGTGCATCTAACCCGGTCTAAAAAAGAAACACAAAACCATCACTTCTCTACTTATACCCGATATTCCTTTCCATACTTGTCCTTTTTGCCATGCTTTTACACTGAGCTCTCATGTTGAGGGACATTTACAACAAACACTCTGTCCTTCTGAGTCACTACTTTCTCCCAGTCTTCCATCCTGTACGTATAACCTGGATTCTTGGTTCCTAGATGTACTACCTTACATTCGGCTGTATTAAAATGCATTTTGTAGGATTGTGATCATTTAACTATTTAGATCATTAACAGTATCCTTTCCTCATTACTTACTGCCCCAATCTTTGGGTCATCTGTAACTTTACCAAAGATTTTGTATCACCTAGAATGTTTAGGGAAACTAACTTGATTTGTTTTGTTGAGCTTATAAGATTGGTCGAAAGAGGTAACAGTGTTGATGTAACAGACTTCTGTAAGGCCTTTGACTTGGTACTGCATGATAGTTTTATATTCTAGTTTTTAATCAAAGTAACATGGCATACACTAAATTGATTAAAAACTGGCTAACTAAACAGAATCATCCTCCAGCAGCTGCATTTCTAGTGGGGTCCTGCAGGGATCAGTTCTTGGCCCTAAGCTATTTAACAGTTTTTATGTTTTCTACCAGGTCATGATAAGTCATCACGGATACAGTTTGCAGATGTCAAAAATTGGGGGTGGTAAGTGACGATGAGGGCAGGTCACTGATTCAGCATGATCTGGATCATTTGGTAAGCTGCATGCAAACAATGTGTGTTTTTAATATGGCTAAACATAAAATGTATACATCTAGGAACAAAGAATGTAGGTCATATTTACAGTGGGAAAATGTCCTGGGAAGATGTGATTAAAGATTTGGGGGTCATGGTGGATAATTAGCTGAACATGAGCTCCAGGGGGACGCTGTGGCCAAAAGAGCTAATCCTTAGATGCATAAACAGGGGAATCTCGATTAGGAGCAGAGAGGTTATTTTACCTCTATTTGACCCTGGTGCAACCGTGGCTGGAATACTACATCCAGTTCTGGTGTCTGCAATTCAAGAAGGATGTTGACAAATTGGGGAGGATTCAGAGAAAAGCCCCAAAACTAATTAAAGGATTAGAAAACTTGCCTTGCATTGAACGACTCAAGAAGCTCCATCTATTCATCTTAAAGAGGTCAATGGGTGACTTGAGCATAGGGTGTAAATACCTACCCGGGGAACAAATATTTAATAACGGGCTCTTCAGTCTAGCAGAGAAAGGGGCAACACCATCCAGTGGCTGGAAGTTGAATCTAAACAAATTCAGACTAGAAATAAGGCACAAATTTTTAACTGTGAAACTAATCAACCATTGGAACCGTTTACCCAGAGTTGTGGTGGATAATCCATTCCTGACAGTTGTTAAATCCAGACCGGATGTTTTCTAGAAGATCTGCTCTAGGGATTATTTGGGGGAAGTTCTGTGGCCTGTTTACACAGGAGGTCTGACGAGATCACCACAAAGATCCCTTCTGGCCTTAGAATTTAGGAATGGTTAATAAAAATACTGATTGGCACTGGACAAAACCAGTCCCTCTGGGGCCTTGCTCATTGACCTTGTATGTCAGACAAGGCCTAAAGTGACTCTGCTGTAAGAGGACTGCATCCTGGGCTAGTTGGGAAGGACAAAACCCACTTGTTACCAGGAAGTCCTGGACTGGGGGAAGTTTAGGTCAGTTACCATCGTCTTCTCACTCTGCTTCCTTGCTCCTGACACGCGGAACAGCAGCTGCTGCACATAGGCCATCATTTCTATGTGGGGTGGGAAGTCAAGGAGCTAAAGCCCAGAGAAACAGAGGGAGCTGCTACTCCTCAGCATCCATAGTGAACAGAGGATGAAATACAACTCCATCGAGCTACCCACCACACCCGGGAAAGTGCTTTAGCACCCTCCTCTGCCATCTGTGGGAAAAGAGTGGTACTGCACATCCTCCTTCCATGGAGGAAATAAGGACAAGAGCTAGTGGCCAGATGGGAGAGGGAGCGCTGCATGTTGCGTGCTACAATCTGGCTCTAAGTGTCACAGTGGGAGCTAAGAGCTTTCAGCCCTAGATGGCGGATTGCTGTGTTCGCCCTGAGAGACCAGGTGGGTGAGAGAATCTCTGTTCTTGGACCAACTCCCATTAGCCCTAGCCAAGGCAGACGTAGCAGCGTTTCCCTTTACAGAAAGATGCAGAGGAGGTGCAGCATGCCTTGGAATTGGACAAACAGGCAGAAGCTGAGCTGCCGCCCACTTTAGCCCAGAAACTCTAAACTCACGTTGGACGGTGCTGGGTGTGCATGAGCCCAGGGTACAGAGCCTCAGCTGTTGGCTCAAGTCCAGCAGAGACCTAGTGCCCCAGCCCCATTGTCAGTGAGAGGCATTCCCACTGCTCCCCTCCCTCACTGAGGATCTCAGCCAGCTGCTCTCGTGGGGGTTGCTACATGCCAGGATCAAGGCACTTCAGCAGGGCTCGCTGACATGGTCGACATTAAACATGTCTGCTTAGAGAGAGGCCTTCAGGGCCATCAATCCAGCAAGGACGTGCCTTTGACATATAGACCAGGTATTTTCCACTGCATGCATCCGATGAAGTGAGCTGTACCTCACGAAAGCTTATGCTCAGATAAATTTGTTAGTCTCTAAGGTGCCACAAGTCCTCCTTCTTTTTCTGCGGATACAGACTAACACGGCTGCTACTCTGAAAACAGACCAGATGTTATCCTAAGGGGTAGTGGTGGTTCTGTGCCGGTGTTTAGAACCCTTGGATCAGGAGGGGAAGGTTACAGTCAGACTACTAGGAAAAGAACAGAGTGGGTCTGACCAAGCCCACACCCCGTTCTCCACACACAGACTTTTGAAGACCCTCCTCTGAAAGCCTGTTTCCCCAGGCCAGCAAAGCCTCAGTCAGTGTAACCCATCGTCAAATTCTTGCTCCTCCCCCCATAACCAGCCATTCACCCCCCAGGTCATTGATTTAACAGATTCAGAAGCTAGATATTAAAGATCAGAGTCCCATCCCCACAACACAAAGTTTCTGTAGAAGGATACCATCCACATGCAAGATCCGAACGCCCCAGGAGCGAGCATTGACAAGGATACTACTGCCACTGCTGGAATCCTGCACAAACAAGAGGAGAGACTCAGTGATATACAGCCTGGGGCAGAGTGGACATCTCAGACTGTTTGCTGGCCTCGACAGGGTATGAGATTATATTGTGTGTCACATCATTGTCAAATCATTAACATTGGTCTTTCCTGCCCCCCATCCTCAGTCAGCAGCAGGATTTTAGCAGATGTCATTTTGAGAACTTCTAGAGTTGGGAAGCCTAGTGAAAAGGCTGCAATCCCACTGCTCAGAGGCTAGAAAACTGCTGATCTTGACTGACCAGAAATCAGTGGTAGCTAAGATCATCTTGGTATAAGAGTTGCCAGCTTGCTCTTTTCAAGACTAGAAACAAGAGCTATCCTGCTGTAGAGATGGGATTTTTGAGTAGCCACTTCTGCCTTTGCCATTTCAGAAAGCTCAATCCTGGGCCAGCTCCCTGACCCAGAGGGGATCTGTTGATTTGCAGATGAAATTGGCATTTCCAAGTCCTAGGGCACGTGGTGCAGGGAAGAGGAGAAATGTTCTTATCCTGACTCAGAGCTGGAAGCATGAACTAGACTATGTCAGCTGTAGCATGAACCTTTTAGTTAAGCATTAACGCCATGTACCGAGTGATCAGAAACCTTTCAGCACAAGGTCTAGAGGCAAAGCCTCCCACAACTCTGCAGCCAGGCTATGTGGCTAACCAAGTCCATGTCACACGTGGCTTTAGTGCTCCCTAGGTTATTGCTATGTCTGATGCCGCTGTGATGCTCTTATAGGCCTGGTCTACACCTAAAAGAATCAGGTCAACCTTACTACATCACGTACTTAGGCCGACCAGACCCCACTGTCGTCTTCCATTGAACTAGTCTGGAGAGGTGGGTTACCTACACTGACAGAAAATCCCCTTCGGACGACGCACAGTCACTGTTACGCAGTCGTATGCGTTGCGTTAGAGCAACAGGAGTACAGCTACCTGTATGAGTGTCCAGCCCAAGGGGCAGCACGTGGGAAAGGAACAGGCCCCATAAGGGGCTGAAAGGCTTGGAACCCCAGGCAGCGTTACAGTCTTGCATTTTCAAATGGAGGACTTGTCCAGGCAATGGCCCACATGGAATCTAGTGATGGGCCAAGTCTCTGCACCGTTCCCCAAGCACAGGCTGGATTGCTGCCCTGCTCAGGAATGCCTTGCACCTACTTGCCTAGAGGAGAAGCCCATCACCGTGCCGCTCACCTGGTTCCTCATGGCCTTCTGCAGCAGCTCCTTCCCCCTGCTGATCAGAGCCTGCAGAAGACACAAGCCAAACAGCATTTAGACCAAAAGCTCCTGAGCAGCCAGCCAGGTGGACCAGTACGCTACTGCCCAGATAGTTTTAAAGGGCGAGGGCACAGATCCTCAGTGTCTCTGGCACCCCCAAACCTCACTACCACCCCAGATTACAGACCTCCAGGGAGATGCAATAGGGTTTAACCTTCCCAGGAGAGGATTCCACTCAGAGCCCCCAGGCTTCCCCTCTCCACCCCAGGCTCCTCACTGCAGATGTCCTCTGCAAAAGGACAAGCTCCTCTTGGGCAGCAGCAAGTGACCTTTGTACTTTAAGGCTCTGCTCTATGGGACTGAAAGTCTGCCCTGGACACCTAGAGCCCCCAGCCCGCAGATCAGCCCGGTTTCAGCCTGATGGATCGGAGACTACAGAACAGGTCAGGTGAACTGTGCAGCAGGAAAGCCATGGGAATCTGCTAGGGAAGCCATTTGGCCTCTGCATAGGCATGCCCAGCAGAGGCCATGTTACAGTAGGATGCCCTGTCAGACCGCAGGGAGACAGCAAGGTTTCTTCTAGTTTGGGGGTAGGACTCAAGCCATCTGACCTTGTATTTCTTTATTACTCTGGGCAGCCCTCAGCGCAGTCATGGCCAGCGCCCCACCCGGTGCTGTATGTTCTACTGTTAGCAATGGAGTCTGACTGTTTTACAGGCTGGGAAGATGGGCCTTGAAGTGTAACACTGAGCCCCTTTCTCTTGACCTGCCAGCTCCCTTCTCTGGTGGCATGGCTGCTTCCCAGCCCACCTATATCTTACCCCTGCTGCCTCCACCTTCTCCCCCTGCTCCCTCTCCAGCATGTCCTCCCACCTCTGAGGGTGCACAGAGAGTTCAACTTAGACCTGTTGAGTCCAGCCCCCTGCCCCAGACAGGGATTTGCTGACTGAGCAGAATTGGCAGGATGCTTTCCTTGCAAGCTGGAAGTTCTAGGTAGGGGACCCTGGGTCTCATCCTACCAGCACCTTGATGATCGTTCCTCTGCTCTAGCGACATTTCTGAGCCTGGGGCAAAACCCAGTGACATGCAGAGCTGGTCCCTGCATGCAATCTGGAGTAGGGGAGGGGCACCATTCACATCCATCCCACCAGCCAATACCAGGACAAGTCACACAAAAGGAAATTAGAAGCAAATCCATACAAAAAACAAGCCCCTATTATCTCTACTGAGCAGCAGGATTAATCAGCCAAATAAACAATTTCTTCCAGCATTTAGGCAGGTGCAGCACATCTATACCTCCAGCTGAGGCAGCGAGGCCTGCCACACTTCCAGTCTGTAGCGACTCTGAAGGGAAGTATCAGTTTTTATGCCACCATATCCTGCTACAAACCTGTGTAAATTCCTACGGTATTTATCCCTTCACCACTGATTAGCAATAGTCTGGATGTGCCGGCCATTTGCTGCACCGTGGGGAGTTTGTCTGCCACCCTAACATTTCCAGTTTTGATTGTGAACTGTAGGCTAGTAAATGAAGGGCACATCGTAGTGCCACTGTATGCTGTTGGATGGTGCTGCACCCCAGAGGCAGTTGCACCAGTCTCTGTGGACACTTTGCAGAATGTTTGGAGATTAAAAATGCTATAGAAAGATATGGCATCTCAAGCCACTGCCCAGAGGGCAGGGCTCATTTATCGGAGTGTGAACAGCACCAGGACTGGGACAGCTGAATAGAGAGGTGTTCTCAGTGAGGCAGACAAGCTCTTCTGCAGCTACTATTCTCAGGCTCTGCTCCCCACCAGCCACTGCCCCAAGGCTTAAGGCTGCCTAGACCCTCACAGTCCTTACACTGTCTGCTGGCTTGTGGTGATGCCCCGCATGGCTCCCTTTGGGCACAGCAGAGGGCAGAGTCTTTGCCTTGGCATCCCCTGAAGCTGCGCTGCTCCGTTTCTCAGTCGGTCTCCGAGGTCCCCTGTCCAGTTTGGCCTCTTTGCTGCTGGAAACCACATAGCTGACTTCTTTACTCAAGAAGCTTTCAATCACCTGGACCAAAGACAAAAACAGAGTCAGCTGCAAAGCCACCAAGTCTACAGCAAGGTCTGGAACATCTTAAAGAAACCACCATCTTCAGTTGCCTAGATGCAGGAACAGGGCTGCATGAGACCTAGTCTTTAAGCTAGACATTTCTCCCCTTCCAGCTCCATCCCTTACTGTCTTCCAGTCTTAAGGCCTCCTCCCAAGTCACGCTGGACTATTAGTTACATGCAACTGAAAGATACCTTGTAAGGACTATACTGGTCAGCCTAGTGAGCTGGGACACTTGAGAATCAGTTTACACGTGTACTCAGAACCCTTCCCTAGCCCCTCTGTACAGCGCATTAACCACAGTGCCCCCAGCTGCCAAATGCACTGTTCTTGAAAAATTGGCCCTTGGTGTCTTCAAGAGCTCAGCTCCCATTTAATGGCCAAGTTTTCACAAGAAACCAGCACCCAACATGCATCCAGGGGCTGAGCTCCTGAAGAACAGGCACCACTCTTGGGAGCTGACTCTTTCGAAAACCTGGCTCCACATGAATAGACCTACAAGCAGCTTGTGACGGACTGTCCCCATCTTTGGGCTTAAAAAGAGCATTCAAGACTTCCTGAGCCCTGCAGATGGGAGCACAAAGGGTAAAGTGACAGGGCCGGGTCTTTCCAGGAATGCATTCCTACCCACCACTCCCATTTTAGGTTAAGGTTTGGACTAGAGGCACTGAATTCCACCACCCCACCCAAGTCCATTCAGCAACTCTGCCCCTTGTCAATGCATCACTCCTATAGCAGCATCCATTCAAGTCTTCGGCTCTTCTGGAGCTAGAGCGCAGCTGCTTCATGCTCTCCAACAGGCAAGGTGCCTCCATACTCACCCCACCCAGCTGCTTTATTGTCGCCACCAGAAACTCCATGTTCTTGTTATTCGGCAGGTCCAGGTAGAAGGATTTTCCCAAAAAGGGCAGGTTCTTGGATGACCCAGTCACCTCCTGCTGCTGTTTCTCTGGGGGTCTCCTTTGCCTTTTCTCTGATTGGCAACCCATCCTACCTGCTAAAAAACACAGCCACCAAGAGAGTCAGCCTCTCAGATGAGCAGTGGGGAGAGCACAAGGGACGAGGATATCTGTCAAACATACAGCTAAGGGTAGCATAAAATCTCTCCTTTACCTGTAAAAAAGGTTAAGAAGCTCAAATAACCTGGTTGGCACCTGACCAAAAGGACCAATAAGGGGAGAAGATACTTTCAAATCTGTGAGGGAAGGTTTTTGTTTTGTGTTTCTTTGTATTCTCTCTGGGTCAGCGAGGAACCAGGGCAGGAAAAATACATCTTCTAAAGCCATATCTGAACTAAGCATTTAAGATTACAAATTGTAAGTAATAGGAAAGAAATGAGTTTGATTATCTTTTGTTTTAGCTTGTGAATTTTCCCTAGGCTAAGAGGAAAGGAGTACTTGTGGCACCTTAGAGACTAACAAATTTATCTGAGCATAAGCTTTCATGAGCTACAGCTCACTGCATTGGATGCTCCTTTTCTTTTGCGGATACAGACTAACACGGCTGCTACTCTGAAACTAGGCTAAGAGGGAGGTTTATTCCTGATTTTTCTGGCAACTTTAAAGTTTTGCCTAGAGTGGAATCCTCTGTGTTTTGAATCTGATCACCCTGTAAAATTACCTTCCATCCTGATTTTAGAGGTGCTTCTTTTATTTTGTTTTTATTATAAAGTTCTGTTGTTAAGAACCTGATGGGGTTTTTAGGACACTTACAAACCAAAGGGGCTGGTCTGTGCTCACCTTGTTAACCTATTTGGTTGGTATATTATTCTCAAGCCACCCCAGGAAAGGGGCTTGGGGGATATTTTAGGGAACCAGGAACTTCAAGTAGCCCTTTTCCTGAATCTTTGTCTAACTCACTTGGGGGTGGCAGCAGTACCCAGCCAAGGGCAAGGAAGGATTTGTACCGTGCAGAAGTTTTTAACCTAAGCTGGTAAGAATAAGCTTAGGGGTCTTTCATGCGGGTCCCCACATCCGTGCCCCAGAGTTCAGAGTGGGGAGGGGACCCTGACGCTATCACAGCTGCTTTGGGCGCCTTCTGCCCAACACACAAGAGAAACAAGCGGCAACACACCCCCAGGGAAGAAAGGGACAAGCAAGTCTTTTAACGCCTTGTTGCCATTACAGAGGGGCTTGGGGCGGGGGGGGCATGTTTTAAAGCTGACGTTCGCCCTGAGGCCATCACCCCCCCCCCCCAGGCAATTGCATCCTACCGCCACAATCTCCCGGGGGCTCGCGGGGGGCGCGGCCCGCCCTGGCCCCCCGGGGAGCGGCTGCCGCTCGGTGGCGCCGGGGGGCTCGGACAGGCCCCGCGCCGGGGACACAGGGGGCAGGGGCAGCGGCCGGGCCGGGGCGGGGCGGGGCGGACGCGGGGCGCGGAGAGGGGGCGGGCCGGGGAGCACCTGGCGGCGGCGGTGCCCGGCCCGGCCTGCCGGGAAGCGGCGCCCACCCCGCCGCTCGCGTACCGGGCTCCGGCTCAGCCATCGGGGGTGGAGCAGCGGGCGGGTCTGGGCCCGCGCCGCCCGGCCCGGAACAGAGCGCTCGGGACGCGGCGAGGAGCGAGGCCTGCGCCCCGACCACGCCGCAGAGCCCCGGGGGCCCAGAGCGCTCGCCGCCGCCTTCGCCTCACAGCGGCCGCGGCTGCCGATTTAAATTTCCGCCCCGCCCCCTCCGCTGCCGGGCCGACCCAGCGGGCTACGGCGGCCGGGGAGGGACCAACCGCCCCCCTCCTAAGCCAGCGCCCCCGCCCCGAGAGAGGGCGGGGCCCCTCCCCCCCACGCGCCCAGCGCCTGGGCCGGCGCCGCGGCACGACGTGCTGGCGTCACGGCAGCGCGAGGGCGCCGGCCCGGGGGGCAGGGGGCGCGCGGGGGGCTGCGGGGCGGGGCTCCGGGGGCGCGGGGCCGGCTCCCCTTCAGCCCCAGGCGGGGCGGGGCTCCGGGGGCCCGGCGCGTGTCCACGCGCGAGCGGCGAGCGGCGCCGCTGCCGGCCCCGCTGCGGTGGTTTGTTTTCCGGCGGGCCGGGCCGGGCCGGGCCGCTGGGGGCCGCAGGAGAGCTGGAGTCTCCCCGCCCGTCGCACGCGGCTCCCGGCGGCGGCTGGGGCTGGGCGGGGTCAAGCGCCGCAGGGGCCAGGGGGCTCCGGGCCTTTGCGGGCGGGAGGCGGGGTCCGTGTAGCAGCCCCAGGGCTGAGCCGGGCCGCGGAGCTCAGCTCCCGCCCGTCGGGCCCCGCTCCGGTCTGCCTCAGGCCGCGCTCGTCTCGGCAGTGGCCGTAGCGGGGCCCCTTTGGGTCAGGGTTGGGGGGCAAAGGCAAGCAGCCGGCGGTGAGGGGAGGGAAGCCCATGCCGGTGCTGCCCCCGCGGTGCTCTCCTTCTTCTGTGGCTGCGTCTCCTCGGGCTGTCAAGCTGGACTCATCCCCGGGCCTAAATTCACATTAATTTTCCTTTATACTGCTTTTCATTTGAGGCTCTCGGAGCCCTTTGTACAGGGAAACATCGTTCTCCCCATTTAACAGATGGGGAAATTAGGTGCTAAGGGACTGCAGTGACTTCCCCTAAGTCAGGGGACTTCCCCTAAGTGAGGTCCCGACTCACAGTCCTGTGCCCCTTCCACGGGGCCACATCACCTCATTACTTTGACAGGTAGCGTAGGTAACACACTGACGCTGCCTGCAGATCAGAACGCAGGAAATTCAGGATGCTGTTGGAAAATCCATATGTGGTGATAAACAGGTAGCTTTGGGTCAAGGTGAAACACTGCAAGTGAGGACTGTAGTTCCTGCAGGCCCCATCTACCCACTCAGAACAAGGTGCTGCATTGCACTCTTTGATCTGTTGTTGCCACAGAACACAGGACAGCGTTACAAATGAGTGTGGCTTTGTATAACTTAGGGGCAGCTTTTGGGCACTGAACAGGGAGATAGAGACCTAAGTTCTATTTCTGGCTCTGCTACAAACTTCTGAATGACCACAGGCAAGTAAGTCACTTCCCCTCTCTGTGCCTCAATTTCCCTATTTCTGAAACTGGGGAACAAAGATACTGTCTCATCTTTGCAAAGCAGTATAATTTAAGGACTAAGTATTGTCTATTTAAATCTATCCTGACATTACCTAATCTGTCTTTCCCACTTTTAACTATACCTAAATCAACCTATTCCAGCTTTACCTACCCACCTACCTTTCTATTCCTCCAAGCTTTATCCAATCTATCTGTCCATCCAAACTTTATTCCATCTATCAGTTCATCCCAAATGTATCTATCCCCTCTTTATCTGATCCATCTGTCTATCCATTTATCCATCTATTCATTCATTCCTCTGTCCATCCATCTATTCAAGTGAGAGAGAAGGTATCAGAGTGTCACAGATTGGAATTATCATAGAGTATCAGGGTTGGAAGGGACCTCAGGAGGTCATCTAGTCCAACCCCCTGCTCAGAGCAGGACCAATCCCCAACTAAATCATCTCAGCCAGGGCTTTGTCAAGCCTGACCTTAAAAATATCTAAGGAAGCAGATTCCACCACCTCCCTAGGTAACGTATTCCAGTGTTTCACCACCCTCCTAGTGAAAAAGTTTTTCCTAATATCCAATTTAAACCTCCCCCACTGCAACTTGAGACAATTACTCCTTGTTCTGTCATCAGCTACCACTGAGAACACTCTAGATCCATCCTCTTTGGAATCCCCTTTCAGGTAGTTGAAAGCAGCTATCAAATCCCCCCTCATTCTTCTCTTCTGCAGACTAAACAATCCCAGTTCCCTCAGCCTCTCGTCATAACTCATGTGTTCCAGTCCCCTAATCATTTTTGTTGCCGTCCGCTGGACGTTTTCCAATTTTTCCACATCCTCCTTGTAGTGTGGGGCCCAAAACTGGACACAGTACTCCAGATGAAGCCTCACCAATGTCGAATAGAGGGGAACGATCACGTCCCTCGATCTGCTGGCAATGCCCCTACGTATACATCCCAAAATGCCATTGGTCTTCTTGGCAACAAGGGCACACTGTTGACTCATATCCAGCTTCCCGTCCACTGTAACCCCTAGGTCCTTTTCTGCAGAACTGCTGCCGAGCCATTCGGTCCCTAGTCTGTAGCGGTGCATGGGATTCTTCCGTCCGAAGTGCAGGACTCTGCAGTTGTCCTTGTTGAACCTCATCAGATTTCTTTTGGCCCAATCCTCTAATTTGTGTAGGTCCCTCTGTATCCTATCCCTACCCTCCAGCGTATCTGCAACTCCTCCCAGTTTAGTGTCATCTGCAGACTTGCTGAGAGTGCAATCCACACCATCCTCCAGACCATTTATGAAGATATTCAACAAAACCGGCCCGAGGACCGACCCTTGGGGCACTCCACTTGATACCGGCTGCCAGCTAGACATGGAGCCGTTGATCACTACCCTTTGAGCCTGAGAATCTAGCCAGCTTTCTACCCACCTTATAGTCCATTCATCCAGCCCATACTTCTTTAACTTGCTGGCAAGAATACTGTGGAAGACCGTGTCAAAAGCTTTGCTAAAGTCAAGGAACAACACGTCCACCGCTTTCCCCTCATCCACAGAGCCAGTTATCTCATCATAGAAGGCAATTAGATTAGTCAGGCATGACTTGCCCTTGATGAATCCATGCTGACTGTTCCTGATCACTTTCCTCTTCTCTAAGTGCTTCAGAATTGATTCCTTGAGGACCTGCTCCATGATTTTTCCAGAGACTGAGGTGAGGCTGACTGGCCTGTAGTTCCCAGGATCCTCCTTTTTCCCTTTTTTAAAGATGGGCACTTCATTAGCCTTTTTCCAGTCGTCCAGGACTTCCCCCGATTGCCATGAGTTTTCAAAGATAATGGCCAATGGCTCTGCAATCACATCCGCTAACTCCTTTAGCACTCTCGGATGCAGCGTATCTGGCCCCATGGACTTGTGCTCGTCCAGCTTTTCTAAATAGTCCCGAACCACTTCTTTCTCCACAGAGGGCTGGTCACCTCCTCTCCATGCTGTGCTGCTCAGTGCAGCAGTCTGGGACCTGACCTTGTTCGTGAAGACAGAGTCAAAAAAAGCATTGAGTACATTAGCTTTTCCACATCCTCTGTCACTAGGTTGCCTCCCTCATTCAGTAAGGGGCCCACACTTTCCTTGACTTTCTTCTTGTTGCTAACATACCTGAAGAAACCCTTCTTATTAATCTTAACATCTCTTGCGAGCTGCAACTCCAGGTGTGATTTGGCCTTCCTGATTTCACTCCTGGATTCCCAAGCAATATATTTATACTCTTCCCTGGTCATTTGCCCAATCTTCCACTTCTTGTAAGCTTCTTTTTTGTGTTCAAGATCAGCAAGGATTTCACTGTTAAGCCAAGCTGGTCGCCTGCCATATTTATTATTCTTTCTACACATCGGGATGGTTTGTTCCTGTAACCTCAGTAAGGTTCTTTAAAATACAGCCAGCTCTCCTGGACTTCTTTCCCCCTCATGTTATTCTCCAAGAGGATCCTGCCCATCAGTTCCCTGAGGGAGTCAAAGTCTGCTTTTCTGAAGTCCAGGGTCTGTATTCTGCTGCTCTCCTTTCTTCCCTGTGTCAGGATCCTGAACTCGACCATCTCATGGTCACTGCCTCCTGGGTTCCCATCCACTTTAGCTTCCCCTACTAATTCTTCCCGATTTGTGAGCAGCAGGTCAAGAAGAGCTCTGCCTCTAGTTGGTTCCTCCAGCACTTGCACCAAGAAATTGTCCCCTACCCTTTCCAAAAACTTCCTGGATTGTCTGTGCACCACTGTACTGCTCTCCCAGCAGATATCAGGATGATCGTAGGCCCTGGTTCTCATGGGAGACTTCAATCTATTAACTTCCGTGAGTTGCCAGAAGAAAGCCTCGTCCACCTCATCCCCCTGATCTGGAGGTCTATAGCAGACTCCCACCACGACATCGCCCTTGTTGCTCACACTTCTAAACTTAATCCAGAGACACTCAGGGTTTTTCTGCAGTTTCATACTTGAGCTCTGAGCAGTCATACTGCTCTCTTACATACAGTGCAACTCCCCCACTTTTTCTGCCCTGCCTGTCCTTCCTGAACAGTTTATATCCATCCATGACAGTACTCCAGTCATGTGAGTTATCCCATCAAGTCTCTGTTATTCCAATCACATCATAATTCCTTGACTGTGCCAGGACTTGCA